TCTTTTTGCCCTTAACCAGGCCTTTTTTTTACCCATTCCTGATAGTTTTACCAATTGGTTGTTGGTCTTGGTTCTCAGAGCATCAAAGGCATCTGAGAAGAGTTTGGCATTCATGTGATGTAAAACCAAACCTAGCATTTATTTGAGACTGAGAATAACCTGGACCTCTGAGCAAAGCCTTCATATGTTTTTCTTGGCTAGGAATCTTTTTAAGGAATTTGGATATAAATGTTCCTCTGAGGGGCAGACATCTCCCAGGTCAGCTACAGCCCATACTACTCCCTAATGTCTCATGCCTGCTGCTGTTCATTTTAAGCTTCCTGACTCCTGAAGACATGGGATTTTGGACTCTTGCTTGCAAATGCACATCCCTCCTCCACTTTAATCTTTCTATTAGTAACCTGTAGAGGGGGGTTCCTTTGTTGAGACAGAGTTTGAATCACTTCCAGGGTAACTTCCAATTTTATTTTTCTTCTGCATAAACAGTGCAGAATGCCATCTTTAAAGGCAATTCCCTTACCTAACAGGGATAGGTTCATGGAGACAGCTCCATTCTATCTGTAAAACCAAAGCTCAAGTCCATAATATCTTTTACCTGACAAACGGCAACTCTCTCCATTTTTGGATGGTGTAGAGTATCCATACCGTGGGTACCCCTGCCTGGATTCCCTTGGCTGCTGGGAATTCAGGCTGAGCTCAGTTCACAGCAGCAGTTCCTCACCCAATATAACAACCCTTCCCAGCTCTGTTCTGCTTTTCAGTCGCTCACTGGTGTCCAACTCTTTGTGACCCCGTGGACCATAGTTTGTCTGTGGGATTCTTCAGGCAAGAATACAGGAGTAGGTCGCCATTTCCTTCACTAGGGGATCTTCCTGACCCAGGAATCGAACCTGCATTTCCTGCTTAGCAGGTGGATTCTTTACCACTGAGTCACCTGGCAAGACTCTAGAGGGAAGCTAATGAAGGGATACAGAAGCCAGACCCCCTTGCCTCAATGGGGGATGATTCTAAAGGGCCCTTTCAGCTCCCCCTTAAGATCTGCTGAGGCCCTGGCTGCAACTGCTTTGTAGGTCAACTCCTGCCCAATCCTGCCTTCCTCACCCCCTTATGTGTATTTCCTGAGAGTCATCCCCAATTAACTTTCTGCCCTGACTCTGCATCTCGGAGTCTGTTTCTAGAAAACCCAACTTAAGTCAAGGAGTGAACTAAGATACAGAAAGGCTGAGTGGCTCGTCCTGCCATATAGATAGGCAAGCACAGAATTCTGGCAACAAATGCATAAATCACATAATGTTGCCACGAAAAGAAACCTTGGGAATCATCAAGCTCAACCCACCCTTTTCCACATGGGGAGACTGAGGCAGAGAACCAAGACATTTGTTCAAGGAATCATAAGCTAATTAAGTGAAAAAGCTCTGATCAAATTCACATCTTTTGTGACCCAGTCAGGCAGATAATGGTCTAGCGTTTAATCAGCTTCCAGAAAACCTTGAAAAAATCCAACTCAAACTGAACTTTGAGAATTTGGAGTCCATACCAGGTGGCTTTTTAAGCCCATCCTTCATGGACAATACCTCATTGTAACCTCCTGCTATAAGAAGCCATTTAACCTTCAAGCCATCACCTAAATAGAGGAGCCAGGTCTGAATCAGAGGTGATAGTGCACTTTATTAACAAACAAAACAATATCAGACAGGCAAACCTGTACTTCAGTGTCAATACATACACACATGTGTACTCCCACGTATAACACTGGGGCACACTTCAGACAGAACATTAGGCACCAAGTTCACAGACTAAACATGGTTCACAATCCTTCAATACTGTGTCTTCAGGCTGATATACGTCCTTATTTAAAAGTTGTGACAAGAAGGTTAACTTTTCAAATCTCATTCTTAACCTTACTATTGAGTGAGGCTGACAGCCTTCAGAACTGTGAAGCAGGTGACTGAACAGAGCCAGGCTTGATCAGCTGCTTAAACTGACTTGAGAGTGGGTGGAAGAGAAGACCTGTGGCATCTCAGGATTGGATCACCTCATGTATGTGGGGAAGTTCTCAGCTGCCATTTCACCCATAGGAACCACCTGGGCTGGCATTCATTTTTAATACTCAATCTGTAGCTTAACAGAGTTGATCTAATTAGGATGAATTAATGGGTTTGCTAAAAAGTTTGAGAAGAGCATAAATCCCATATTCTGGGAGTCCTTCGACATTCGAGACATGTTAACTATGTTAACAACTTGATGACTGTTAAAACTGTTGCCAGTTAAATTTGTCAGCATTTCCCCAGAGGTGTGTCAAAACCAAGTTAATCAGTAAGCAAACAGAAATAACTGAAATAGATCAGGGAAGTGATTTCTCAAAGCACTTTGGTATAAAATGCAGCAAGTTCTTACACATTAGGGCATATCCAAGATAATACCAAAACTCCCAACTTAGCTAAAATGCTTTTCAACTGCAAGGTATAGACTGGCAGAAAATCCTACTCTTTGCTTTCAGGATGTAATTTTGGATTTACAACAGGGTTAATTATGTAATAAACTTGGGCTGGTTCCTCTGGCAATCTTTAATTCCCATTCAATAAAAAAATAGACAGCAGATTAGATTAAGAGTTACTGGGAGGTAATAGAAATAAGGATGTGACATGAATACTGAATATGGGAGAAGATAGAAGCAGCAGTAGACTCATCAGCTATGAAACAACTTTGCGGCATTTAGTACAGGGGCAAAGACAGTGGTATCACTCTATTAAAAATGGTATCACTCTATTAAAAATGGCATACTCTATTATAAAAGTATAAAATAATCCAGAGATAGAACGATTGACAGGGTTAATTCTAAAAAAGGAATTTGAATCTAGGTTATGTACTAAATGTGTGGAAGTGACTCCATCAAAATTTTAGTTGATTTAAAAATTTTGGCACACAAATAACAAGCTTCAGCTAGCTAGAAACTTCATTTAAAATGAAATGCCTCATTCATCAATGATGCAGGATATTACTGGGTATCTACCACCTGGGTTGCTGAGTCCACAGAATCTTCTGAATCTTCTCAACCGCTTTATTTGATCACATCTGTGTTGATTTTCATATATATATATATATATATATATATATATATATATATACACACACACACACACACTTTATGGCTGAAACTTTTGGGTTTTTAAAAAATCTGACAGTTTTTTTTTTTTTTTTTTTTTTTTTTTGCCACATGGGGCAGTTTGCAGGAACTTAGTTCCCCAACCAGGGATCAAACCCTGGACCTGGCAGTGAAAGCACAGAGTCTTAACCTCTGGACCGCCAGGGAACTCCCCCAACAGTTTTTAAAATGGGAAAGATAGGAGGTGAGCACTGTTCTGAACTCACATTTCTCCTAAGATAAACTTAGTTTTCATATATAAAATCATTCAATTTCATGTCTTTTATAAATCTTAATAATGAAAGCAAGTGAGGTTATAAGAAGAGCCCTAATTTCCTTTCTGTGCTTGATTAGTCTCATGAAATAACAATCAGAAATTTATCATGTGCATTTCAGTACTTATTTGAGAGAAACTGGCATGGTGGTATTACTCAAAGGTAACCACATGGAAGTGCTTCCCTGGTGGCACAGTGGTAAAGAATCTGCCTGCAATGCAGGAGACACAGGTTCGATCCCTGGGTCAGAAAGATCCCCTGGAAAAGAAAATGGCAACCCACTCCAGTATTCTTGCCTGGAAAATCCCACGGACAGAGGAGCCTAGTGGGCTACAGTTCATGGGGTCACAAAGAGTCAGACACGACTGGGCCAGTAAACGACAATAACAAACTATGTGAAAAACATACTTAAGTTAACAGATCTGCCTGATTTTATTATGGCTATAGGAAAAAAAAGAAAAAAAATATCTGCCACTAGAGGCCTTCAGAAGGGTCTACCTGAAGAAAGGAAAATACTGCTTCCTTGGAATTGGCAGAATGTTATCAGGGACAATGAGCCAAGTAATGTCTAGCCACCTTCCAGGAGGATGCGAAGAAGCCTACTGCAGTTGGTCTCATGAGGAGCGAAACAGGAAGCCCTCCTGGGGGACAGTCTTGCCACTATTTGCTCATCTAGGGAGTTACATACCAGTCACAGCAAATTAATTTAAACATTCCTTGGTAAACACTGTCCTCTTTAAGAAAAAGAGGAAAAATGCAAACAAGCTAGCATGAAGACTAGATGTCTAGTTTAGTTTAGTTTTAGTGTTAGTCACTCAGTCGTGTCTGACTCTTTGTGACCCCATGGACTGTAGCCTGCCAGGCTCCTCTGTCCATGGAATTCTCCAGGCAAGGATACTAGAGTGGGTTGCATGCTCTCCTTAAGGGGATCTTCTTGACCCAGGGATCAAACCTGTGTCTCCTACATTGCAGGCAGATTCTTTGCGGTCTGAGCTACCAGTGTCTAGAAACTTCACAGGAATTAGAAGTGGTCAGGAGATCCCTGAGACAGCAGCCCACAAGATGTTGTCCCCACTCTGGTCTGCGGGTCTGAACCCTACCTCCACTGCTTTCCCTCATCCAAAGTGGGGGCTGCTTACCCAGGAAGCTTCAAGTCTGGGCCTACACTCTACCCGTTGGTAAGGACTTCAAAGGACAGTCACAGGCTGGGCCTTAATCTACTCAACCTCTACAGAGAGAAAGTTAAATGCTTCATTCCTGCGATCATCAGGTATTTTATGTTAAAGGGGAGAAAAATAGGACACAGAAACTGTTTCTCATGAGCATGTCAACTTTAACTTCTTGATGTTAAGAAATTGATCACAAGGTTATTTTCTACCAATCAACACGAGCTGGTCTACAGACAAATCACAAGATGGAGCTTGATCTTCCGGAAATTAAGGAGGTCATACACTGAGATTAAACTGAGGGGTTAAATCGGTTCACTTAAAGATGATCTGATTGCATGGCTGTTCTATGGGTCGGCAATTTGCTTTTGATGATACCGGGGAAGGCTAAGCAGAAAGCATGAAGCCAAAACTTCAGGATCGGCTTAGCAGCCTGAATCTGTACATCATAAACCACAGGGCAGTTATCGATGTGGAAAACCCAACGATCTTCAGCAGGCCTGGTACGGAAGGCAGGTTTCTCTCCCAGAAGCTGGGGGTGATCTCTATAGCTGGAACATCCTGGATGAATGAACATAGATCATTAGCAAAAAACTATTGTGGGAACAAGGAGTGGCAAAATATATCTGTAAAATCAGTGTCTGGATCTGCCCTGGAGAGTGGCATCTACAAGGACATCACAGGCTAGAAGTTGAGATTTTTATATGTGATTCTTGGTCTGTAGAGATGGAGCTGCCAAACTTACTTTAGCTTCAGGTTCTTGGATCCAAATGTCTTTGGCAGCCAGCTTCCCCAAAGCATTCAAGACCTGAAAGAAACAAAAAAGGAAAAAGCAAAAAAAAAAAAAAGAAAAAGAAAAGACCTGAAACAAAGTGGCCATGGTATTATGAGGTTTTGTACTTTCAACAGATTCAAGGCCCTGCTGACCACAGATGAACCTCATGAGTGGAGTGAGGGCAGAGAAGTGGATATCTATTAATAGACAGATGGTCAGTGGCACGATCTGGAAAGACCAGATGACAGCTATGTCAGTGGACTCAGGAGGGAGAGCCATTTGGCTTCCTGTCTTACCTCTCTAGCGGCCCGTTCACCGGCCTCTACTGCTCCTTCCATGTAACCACTCCATTGTGTGGCAGTCTCTGTGCCAGCAAAGTAAATTCTGCCTACAGGTTGGCGAATCACCCTTCAAGGGAACAGAGAGGTCATGCAGTTACCTGGGAACGCGCTGAGGGTAAATGAGCCAATCGTGGCCCTCACTTAAAACCCCACAGAAGACAAGGAAACTCAAATTGTTTCCAAAACTCCCATGCAACTCAGCCAAAGATGAAAGGCTCCTCCTTGTTTCCTGGGTCTGCACCAAAGGATCTGAGCTTTCAAGCCAGAGAGAATCAGGATGTGAGATCATAAATTGCTAAAGGTAACGAGACCTTTTTTTAGCTAGTCAGAATTAAAATGTAAGAACATACATTAGGTCTACACTCAAGATTCATTTGCTTCATGTTTCCTATTTGCAGTCCATTCTGCTACCTACAGTAAGGGGTGTGTTCTTCATGAGATCTCATCTGACTGCCGGGAGGAACAATGGTGGTGAGTGGGAAGACAGGAAGAGGAACTCATTTCTAGCAAAGGAGAAATTCAAAGGATTATATGTCTACCTCCTTCAAAAACAACCTCTGGGAGTTTGGGGTTAGTAGATGCAAACTGTTACATATAGAATGGATGGACAACAAGGCCCTATTGTATAGCTCAGGGAGCTATACTCAATGTCCTGGGATAAACCATACTGGAAACGAATATCAAAAATAATGTGTAAAATGCATAACTGAGTCACTTTCCTGTATGGCAGAAATTAACACAACACAGTAAATCAACTACAATTAAAAAAAAACCTCTGTACAATTAGCTTCTATGGATGTATCTAGAGACTGGCTGAGGGTAATGAAATGGGCTTTCTCTTACAAAGAGGTCTTGGTGAAGAGAACCGTGGAAAGGCTAGGCTGAATGAGCCACTGTCCCCTCCTACCTTGTTGGCTTTGATTCCTACAGACACTTGCATGAAATCTCCTAAACCATGTACCTCCACCCCAAAGGACTTCACCTCAACCTGCTGTCATGCCTTTTTCCAACTCAGGAATCCTTGGCTTCATCTATCCCTGATCCTAGTCCCCTCTCCGAGACTTCCACTTTGATTCCAGAACCACTCCAGTTCATCAATACTGTTATCACTAACAAAGGCTATTCATTCTTGGCTTGAGATTTGACAGAAATAGCCAACACTAACTGCCCTTTGGAAAAGGAATTGTAAAAAGCACCCAAGATCTAAACAGGGTTTCCCATGAATCATTTAATCTTTCATCAGATATTGATGACTTTCACTGAAATACTACATGTGTCTATTGAACTAAAATCATTGCATAATTAATAATTCACTTAAGAAAAACAAACAAAAAGCTCATATAAGGAAAGGATTAACAAACCCTTCTTCCTTCTCTATGGACACACATGACCTTGAGTTAACATTTTAGATCTGTTCCTCTAGAAACCTGATGAAGGCATAAGGCCATATATGTTACCAGGCAACCGCTACTTATGGTAAAAATGGCTCTCCTCCACCCCCTCACTGGTAACTTGTATCTAGGCTGGGAAAACTCATAAATTGCAAATATCTGGAAAGAGTCTAAATATCTGGGAAATGTTTGGGATTTCTTGAGTATGCTGCCTCTTGTAATTGGGCATGTCCTTTGTGGGGAAACTAGACACTACCTATGAGGCTGTTTGAAGAGACAAAGGCTCCTGTGAGCTAAGGGGTTTCTAAGTTAAGGTGAATTCTCCCATCCTGTGCACATACCAACTGTTCACACCTTAGCCGTACACAGTGAGATGCTTCCCCATGAAGAGGAACGTCTGATGCTGCTCTGCTGGCAAGACATCTTTAGCCCATGTAGATTGGAGCCCAGGAACCTAGGGTAATTGTGCAAGACTAAATGTTTAGTTGAGCTCAAGAAGGTCCCTGGGAGGACACTGCAGCTTTCAGAATTCTCACGTGTACCAATGACCCCTGAATTCCTTGCCAGTGCTCTGAAATTGTTCTATGTGCTGCCAGGTACTGTTCTACGTATGGACATACTTCTTTTCCTGTGGACACCTAGAATATACAAACTATCTGGGACATTACATATAGGAATGCTGATTCCTGTTTCTAAAATCCCCACTGAGCTTGACTTATCTAGTTTTAAGCTTGGCACACGTCTTGTATCTATTGGCATAGTGTTTGGGTAGTACCTTCCATATTGAGTCATGATCCCTGGGGGGAAGTACGCAGTGTAGCAGCCTCCGGAGTACTGCTCCTCACACCAGTTCTTCTCTTCATAGTGCACCGGCTGCAGTTCAGTGGGGAGAAAATTTCAAAGGGAAGACAAAGCTGAAATGCTGCCAGTCAACAATAAAGGCTCTTATGTGCTTTACTGTAACAAAAAGTTTAAGGTTTTTTTTTTTTAAGTAGCCCTGTTTTTCTAACTTAAGGGGAAACAGGACAGTGCCAAGTAACGGCCTTTTGTGAGGTACCAACAGACAAAATGTATATACTTTGACTTTCTCAACCTCTTGCCTAGGAGAGACAGGAAGTATTCCAATATCTGGAAGAGAGGGTATCTCTATGTGGATTCTGAAGTCTTTAAGACTCTATCAACAATCAGGTTCTGGAAGGGTCTGCTCAAATCTCTGCATTCTTTAAATAACAGACCTTACTTCCCCATCTACCAGGGCATTACTGCTGAAAGAGGGGTGGGGGGTAGAAGGGAGAAGGTAGAAGGAAAGCATAGTGTCTGAAAAAGGCTTTTTTCAGAACCACTTCTCTCAGCTGGAAATGTGAATGATGGGAATCCTATTAAAAAGAGGACAGTTAAAGATGAAAAATGTTTCCCAAGGGATGTGAGAGGACCTTCTCTGATTTCCCTAACACATTCTGCAAGTTTAATCTTCCAACAGTTCAGAGAAAATCCCCTGGAAGAGCCCCCCACTATCTGCTAGGGTCTTTAAAAAGAATTTCATTCTCTTAATTGCTTTCAGTGGTAGATTGAGAGCACCAAAATTCCTAAATGAAGTGTAAATTGAGTCTGCAGATGGAAAAACAAATAAGTATGTCTTTGACCTGGGCAGAGAGTCCAGATTCAGTCTGTCTTATCAAGTATATACTACTGTGCCTTCATCAACAAATAATGATATAGCTGGGATTTTATTTGGCAGCGATCAGTTGACACTGACAAGAGGGCACGGCCTCTGTTCCAGGGACTGATCTCAGTCACCCTGGAAATAATACCTGCAGCTTCTGCCTCTCATTACTACTGGCTGCCAGTTATCCAGCGAACATTTAAACAGCCCAAGCTGCATCAGAAATTGCATGCACTGACAGCAGCGTTTTAATGGCCCTTTGTGACTGCTGAAGTTAATCCTCCAGTAAGCATATCCCTTTATACTCTCTTCATAAGACTGTCAGGAAACCAGAATCTGCTTTGCTTTACCACTCAGAGCAAACAGAGCAGAACCTGCTAGGGATTAAAGATGGGGATTTCTTACATGTAAAGCTTCTTGAGATCCTAGCACTTTGGCGTACAGTTCACAGATTTTCCTTTTTCTATAAAAAAAAGAACCAAAGAATGTGAAGGCAGTAATGACTGATGAGTATGGAATAAACACAGTGAGTTCCAGGGTTCTTGCAATGAAACAGATTTATTAAGTGAAAAATTAAAATCAATGGCCTTCAGTAACTACACTAAATGAACAGTTTCTTGAATCTCTGCCCTCAAATTAACTCTCTTTTCCCCGACAGAGTTATGTGCTTTGGAGATTCAACCGACTCTTTGTTCTCTTTTACATTTTTGCCTCTTCCACTACCTACTACCATATCTATTCAAGATTAAAATGGAGAAAATGAGATTGAATTAAATTCAGTTTTAGGAATTGATTCTAAGTCACTATTTGGAAATACGTGAAATTCTAAACTAATCCCTTTTATAAGTCTATAGTAAGTATGATGGTATCTTTTAACTATCCTATGTTTATGTTTTAAATATCTACCAACATATAAAGCTCATTTAATCTTTTAAATGTAACATAACACATGCTATACTAGGAGAGGCCTATGCTCGTTCCAGGGTAGTAATCTGCCACTTGACAGAATGGTCTGTGGACACAGTACTGGGTCCTAAGGGCTTGGAGGGGCAGTGGGCATGATGTGTTATATGCTGCTGCTGCTAAGTCAGGTCAGTTGTATCCAACTCTGTACGACCCCATAGATGGCAGCCCACCACGCTCCCATCCCTGGGATTCTCCAGGCAAGAACACTGGAGTGGGTTGCCACTTTCTTCTCCAGTGCATGAAAGTGAAAAGTGAAAGTGAAGTTGCTCAGTTGTGTCCGACTCTTTGCGACCCCATGGACTGTAGCCTACCAGGCTCCTCCGTCCATGGGATTTCCCAGGCAAGAGTAGTGGAGTGTGTTATGTGATATTACCTTAAAACAGTCTCTGACCACCCTCATAATTCATTATGCAAATGACCAGCACAGAACATGGTACATACTGTATCTTAAAAATCAATAGCTTTATTCAATTAAGCACTTCTTTTTTAAAAAAAAAAATTACCATTTTATTTATTTATTTATTTTTATTTGGCCATGCCGTTTGGCCTGCAGAATCTTAGTTCCCCAACTAGGGATTGAACCAGAAGTTAAAGCGCTGAGTCCTAACCACTGGACTGCCAGAGAATCCCTATCTAAGCACTTCTTGAAACAGATACATTTTAAACTCACAATCACTTTTGGTGCAGTTTAAAAGCTCTAATTTACTAAAATTATCAATTTTAGAAATGAATAGTTCTGTTTTAGAAATTGTTTAAACGGGTTAGCACTGATCCAGTTATGCACTTTAGGTATTTATCTTCTTTAGTCTTTATATAGGTTAAATATTGAAAGTGCTCCAAAATCCTTTCTTATATACTAATAAATGACTGGAAAAAATTGCTAAAAATGTGGTAAAGGGTTTAATTCAAATCTGTAAGATAAGCATTAAAAGCTAAAGAGACAAATGGCAAAAAAAATATTGGGGGGGGAGGAAGGAGGTAGGGAAGGTTATAGTTATTAGAAATAAATTTTAAAAGATGCCAACTTCATGTTGCCAGTTACAATAGAAAACAAGTGTTCCCAATTTCACAGGTCTTCCCAATTTCTCTGAATAATGTTGGACAAAGTGTAACTTTATACATTTATCTGAATGCTCACACTTACATGATTTATACAACTCCTAGAGTTTCCATCTCGTGGCTATATAGTGGTAAATCAAGAGAAGGAGGTGGAATGATAAATGTTGCTTACCGACACCACTTTACCATGGAAGGTTTTAAGGGAGAGACAAATGCCACTTCTGAGGTGATGTCACACATCATTAGATAGCTATTTAAGTTCCAGTACAGACAGGCAAGATTCACTGTCCTTCAAGGAGCTGTTTATACTACAGCTCAATAATGATAAACAAAAGGTAGAACTGGAAGAAGTCTCAAGACTACGGTGTACCTGTCTGTCTCTCTCTGTGTAATCCAAGCCACTCATTTCAGACATGAGGAGACTGAGGCTCAGTGTGCTCAAGAGACTAGCTCAACATCACTCAGCTCACTAATTGCAGGGCCAAGGATCTACTCTCTTGAGCATCCCACCTGTAGTAAGTGCTCAATAAAAATTTACTGAATCAATATCCATCCTCAGTCCAGTGTGGTACCCTCTTTTATACTCTATGATATGACTGATTCTTACCTACTTCACATGAGTGTTGCAAGAAATAATTCTGACATTTTGAGTCAATAAGAAAACAAAAGTATTGACAACCATTATCTTGAAAACTTAACAATGTTTTGTTTACTTTAGGTATATGCAATAACATCTTTGTTAAAACAGAGTGAACCCTAAAATGTAATCAAACAACTCTATAGTTAACTTTTCATTCAAGAACAGTAAACCAGTTATCATAGAAATTTGTCATTATTGGCTGTATTTCACATTATTAAATGAGTCAATGATGATTTCTAATGAACACATAGGAAATTATCTTCTCCATCCCTTCCTCCCATTAATATAAAATTTTTTTAGAAAATTAAATAAGATAAGGATGGTACAGCAATGTACTGGTTGCTTAGCTGGGCTCTAAAAATAACAGAGCATACTTTAAATGATGTAGAAAAGAAGTCATTGTGCAAGTTGGATATACCTACTGGTTTCTGAACCTGGCTGCTCATCATAATTACTCAAAAGGCTTGTTAAAATATGCAAATACTCAGGCCCCACCCATAACCTACCAAATCATAATCTATCAGCCTCAGAAAAAATATATTTTCCAAACATGCTTTGGGAAATGTTGACGCAGTTCGTTCTGGGAACTATTACTTGAGTCAATAACATTCAGCATTCTAAGTGGTTTTGCCTTATAAAAACTTTTGAGAAGTTTAGCCACTATGTGGAATCAAAACCAAATGTCTACATCCAGGCTGGTATTTATTTTACTATTAATAAGGAGGGAAGGCAGGAAATCCAAAAGAAAATGTCAAGCTTAGTATGACATAATGAAAAAAAGTACACATTAGATGCTATTCGTGACTTTGTCACAAGCTGGCTATGGAGCCTTGAACAAATCATTCCCCATCACCAGACCCCCAAATTCTTCCTCTATTGAGTGAGTAGGCAGACACTAAAATAGTTCCCTTTTCCTGACATCAAATCTCATGGTTGCTCAAATAAACAAACCCGTGTGCAAATGTGGGAACGTCTGCTGTCTTTCCCTAACTTGCAAAGTCATCAAAGTAACTCTCAAAGCAAGATCTGCTAGTTGATTTGCTGCTTAATTTTTAAATCAAATGCAGAGAGAAGTATACATTTGCATGCACACCCTCTTCAAAAGCTAACAAAGGATTTAGGGTTATCCCTGTCGTAATGAAAGTGTTGCATAACTCAGTGAAGCTATGAGCCATACCGTGCAGGGCCACCCAAGATGGAAGGGTCATAGTGAAGAGTTTTGAGACAATGTGGTCCACTGGAGGAGGGAATGGCAAACCATTCCAGTATTTTGACTGTGAGAACACCATGAACAGTATGAAAAGGCAGAAAGATATGACACCAGAAGATGAGCCCCCCCAGGTTGGAAGGTGTTCAATATGCTACTGGGGAAAAGTAGAAGGCAATTACTAATATCTGCAGAAAGAATGAATTAAGCAGCTGGGCCAAAGCAGAAATTATGCTCAGTTGTGGATGTGTCTCGTGGTGAAACTAAAGTCCAATGCTGTAAAGAACAATATTGCCTAGGAACCTGGAATGTTAGGTCCATGAATAAAGGTAAATTGGATGTGGTCAAGCAGGAGATGGCAAGAGTGAACATTGACATCCTAGGAATCAGTGAACTAAAATGGACAGGGATGGGAGAATTTAATTCAGATGACCATCATATCAACTACTATGGGCAGGAATCCCTTCAAATAAATGGAGTAGCCCTCATAGTCAACAAAAGAGTCCGAAATGCAGTACTCGGGTGCAATCTCAAAAACGACAGAATGATCTTAGTTCATTTCCAAAGCAAACCATTCAACATCACAGTAATCTAATCACAGTAGTCTATGACCCAAGCAGTAATGCTGAAAGAGGAATAGTTTCATGAAGACCTACAGGACCTTCTAGAACTAACACCAAAAAAAAAAGATGTCCTTTTCATCACGTGGGGGTTGGAATGCAAAAGTAGGAAGTCAAGAGCTACCTGGAGTAACAGGCAAGTTGGCCTTTGGAGTACAAAATGAAGCAGGGCAAAGGCTAACAGAGTTTTGTCAAGAGAACACTGGTTATAGCAAACGCCCTTTTCCACCAATATGAGAGATGACTCTACACCAGATGACACCACCAGATGTAATCAGATTGATTATATCCTTTGCAGCCAAAGATGGAGAAGCTCTATATACTCAGCAAAAACAAGACTGGATCTAACTGTGGCTCAGATCATGAGCTCCTTGTTGCAAAATTCAGACTTAAATTGAGGAAAGTAGGAAAAATCACTAGGCCATTCAGGTATGATCGATATCAAATCCCTGATGATTATACAATGGAGGTGATTAATAGATTCAAGGGATTAGATCCGGTAGAGAAAGTGCCTGAACAACTATGGACAGAAGTTTGTAACACTGTACAGGAGGCAGTAACCAAATTCATCCCCAAGAAAAAGAAATGCAAGAAAGCAAAGTGGTTGTCTCTGGAGGCTTTACAAATAGCTGAGGAAAGAAGAAAAGTGAAAGGTAAGCGAGAAAGGGAAAGATAAACCTAACTGAATGCAGCGTTCCAGAGAATAGTAAGGAGAGATAAGGCCTTCTTAAAGGAACAATGCAAAAATAGAGGAAAACAACAAAATGGGAAAGACTAGGTATCTCTTCAAGAAAACTGGAGATACCAAGGGGACATTTCATGCAAGGATAGACACGATAAAGGACAGAAATGGTAAGGACCTAACTGAAGCAGAAGAGATTAAGAATAGGTGTTAAGACTACACAGAAGAATTATACAAAAAAGGCCTTAATGGCCCAGATAACCATGATGATGTGGTCACTCAACTAGAGCCAGACATCCTGGAGTGTGAAGTCAAATGGGCCTTAGGAAGCATTACTATGAACAAAGCTAGTGAAGGTGATGGAATTCCAGCTGAGCTATTTCAAATCCTAAAAGCTGATGCTGTTAAAGTGCTGCACTTAATATGCCAGCAAATTTGGAAAACAGCAGTGACCACAGGCCTGGAAAAAGTCAGTTTTCATTCCAATCCCAAAGAAGGGTAATGCCAAAGAATGTTCAAACTACCATACAGTTGTACCCATTTCACATGAGTGAACTGAATATACTAAGTTTATGCTCAAAATCCTTCAAGCTAGTCTTCAGCAGTACATGAACTGAGAATTTCCAGATGTACAAGCTGGATTTAGAAAAGGCAGAGGAACCAGAGATCAAACTGCCAACATATGTTGGATCATAGAGAAAGCAAGGGAATTCCAGAAAAACATCTACTTCTGATTCATTGACTCCACTAGAGCCTTTGACTGTGTGGATCACAACAAACTGTGGAAAATTCTTAAAGAGATGGGAATATCAAACCACCTTACCTGTCTCCTGAGAAACCTGTATGCAGGTCAAGAAGCAACAGTTAGAACCAGACATGGAACAATGGACTGGTTCCAAATTGGGAAAGGAGTATGACAAGGCTGTGTACTGTCACCCTGTTTATTTAACTTATATGCAGAGTACATCATGTGAAATGCTGGACTGGATGAATCCCAAGCTGGAACCAAAATTTCCAGGAGAAACATCAACAACCTCAGATATGCAGATGATACAACTCTAATGGCAGAAAATGAAGAGGAACTAAAGAGCCTCTTGGTGAGGGTGAAAGAGGAGAGTGAAAAGCTGACTTGAAACTCAACATTCAAAAAACTGAGACCATGGCATTTGGTTCCACCACTTCACAACAAATAGAAAGGGAAAAAGTGGAAGTAGTGACAGATTTTATTTTCTTGGACTCAAAAATCACTGTGGATGGTGACTGGAGCCATGAAATTAAAAGACGCTTGCACCTTGGAAGGGAAGTTATGACAAACCTAAATGGTGTATTAAAAAGCCGAGACATCACCTTACTGACAAACATGCAATAGGTATGAACACCTATGTATGGATCTGCTTTTCAGAAAAAGCACATGTTGGAGAACCTTCAAGATGGAATTAAGGTCACTAGGACTTGGCCTCTTAAGCTTTATTCAGAGCTAACATTTTTTTATTATTTTTCTTCATCCATCTTACTGAGAAACCCTATCTCTTAACCAATGTAAAACAAACACAGAGATGTAAAACTAAATTAATATATGCACATGGGCAGGAGTGAGTCAAATGGGGGGCTAACAAAATACAAAAAATTGATTTGTTAGGATTTTGAGATTAACAAATGATTGCATTTTTCATAATGTTATTATAGTGTTGTTAGTACAACAAGAACAATATAAAGCTAATCTTTTACATGTTTCAGATGTAAATTCTTACCTTATATCTTTATGTACTTTAGCGAGCCGGTCAGCTTTTCGAGCAAGGATGAAGCTGGAGAGAGAAATTACATTTGAACCATTAGGTGACAGTGGTTTATCTTAAGAGTTGCCTCTTGTTAAAGTGTTCTTGCCTATATCTATAGTAATACCCTAAATACAAACAAGTTTCATTCCAAGAATGCGTCTGTATGTTTCTCCAAGGAAGACATACAGATGGCTAAAAAACACATGAAAAGATGCTCAACATCACTCATTATCAGAGAAATGCAAATCAAAACCACAACGAGGTACCATTACATGCCAGTCAGGATGGCTGCTATCCAAAAGTCTACAAGCAATAAATGCTGGAGAGGGTGTGGAGAAAAGGGAACCCTCTTACACTGTTGGTGGGAATGCAAACTAGTACAGCCGCTATGGAGAACAGTGTGGAGATTTCTTAAAAAACTGGAAATAGAACTGCCATATGACCCAGCAATCCCACTTCTGGGCATACACACCAAGGAAACCAGATCTGAAAGAGACACATGCACCTCAATGTTCATCGCAGCACTGTTGATCATAGCCAGGACATGGAAGCAACCTAGATGCCCATCAGCAGACGAATGGATGAGGAAGCTGTGGTACATATACACCATGGAATATTACTCAGCCATTAAAAAGAATTCATTTGAATCAGTTCTAATGAGATGGATGAAACTGGAGCCCATTATACAGAGTGAAGTAAGCCAGAAAGATAAAGACCAATACAGTATACTAACACATATATATGGAATTTAGAAAGATGGTAACGATAAACCTATATGCAAAACAGAAAAAGAGACACAGATGTATAGAACAGACTTTTGGACTCTGTGGGAGAAGGCGAGGGTGGGATGTTTCAAGAGAACAGCATCGAAACATGTACATTATCTAGGGTGAAACAGATCACCAACCCAGGTTGGATGCATGAGACAAGTGCTCGGACCTGGTGCACTGGGAAGACCCAGAGGGATCGGGTGGAGAGGGAGGTGGGAGGGGGTATCGGGATGGGGAATACATGTATATCCATGGCTGATTCATGTCAATGTATGACAAAAACCACTACAATATTGTAAAGTAATTAGCCTCCAACTAATAAAAAAAAAAAAAGGATAAACAAGTTTGACTGAAAAAAAAAAAAGAATGCATCTGTAAATCCAATTTGTTCGTAAGTCCAACATAGTTAGCCTAGGTACCCAACTAACACAAGCAGTTATATAGTGCTATACTCTAATAAGTAAGTAAGTGTTAGTCGCTCAGTTATGCCTGACTCTTTGCGACCCCATGGATTGCAGCCCACCAGGCTCCTCTGTCCATGAGATTTTCCAGGCAAGGACACTGGAGTGGGTCGCCATTTCCTTCTCCAGGGGATCTTCCCAACCCAGGGATTGAACCTGGGTCTCCCACACTGCAGGCAGATTCTTTACCAACTGAGCTACAAGGGAAGCAGGCTTATAATATTTTTCACACAAATAATACATAAAAAACAAACACAAAAATAAACACTTTTAATCTTACAGTACAGTATCTAGAAAAGTACAGGGGTATAGTATAACAGGTGGCATATGGGGCTGGCACCCACGTTTGTATCTTTGAAAGTTCACAACTTGATGGTCTGTAAGTAGGGGACTTACTGTACTCAGCACTAATACACTCTCCCACACTCTCCCATTATTTCCATCTACTAGAGCAAATGCCAAGCTGCCCTCATCTGCTTCTGGGTCCAAAACCCCTGCCAGGGGTGGGCTCCTAAACAATAGATCACTACCTACTCAATATTTTATAGCCAAAGTTCAGTACAGTTCTTGGCATACAGTAGGAAATTGACTATGTAGATGAATTAATGTTGCATTAAATGATGAGTTTGGTAATGACTGTTGCCATCTGTCAAGTTACTTGATAAAAGCTGGAAAAAATGTATCAAAAAGTGCTTATTGGGAATTCCCCAGTGGTCCAGCAGTTAGGACTCCGAGCTTCCACTGCAGGGGGCATGGGTTCAATCCTTGGTCAGGGATTTAAGATCCCACATGTCAAAGGCATGGCCAAAAATAAATAAATAAATAAATAAATAAATAAAGTGCCTGAAGTGGATGCCATGGTGGGCCACCCAGATTCCTCTTCAGGACCACTCACTACCCTCAACTCACAACCAAATCCCTCTATAGCAATTATACTCTGCAGCAGAGAACTGCCTGATGCAAGGTCCCATCCCTTCTCAGAATGAATGCCAGAGTACAATGGGTACCAAAGCCTATTGCACAGTGCAGACACCCAGTGCGGACACCTCTGAAAGGCAACCCTTACTTTGAGGCCTCTGTTGGGACAACACTGGAGCCCAACTGTTCCCTCTGCCCAATCCTGATTCCTTCCCTCCCAAACAGGTAGCATGCATCTGTGTGCTCAGTCACTTCAGTTGTGTCCGACTCTATGGGACGCTATGAACTGTAGCCTGTCAGGCTCCTCTGTCCATGGAATTCTCCCGGGAAGAATAGTGGAGTGGGTTGCCATGGCCTCCTCCAGGGGATCTTCCCAACCCAGGGATAGAACCCGCATCTCTTGCATCTCCTGCATTGACAGGCTGGTTCTTTACCACTAGCGCCACCTGGGAAGCCCAGGCAGCACTCCACAGAGCAATTCCTGATGAACCTCCTGAACCCAAATCTCCACCTCCGAGTTGACTTCCTGGGAAACCAGTCTAGCACAGTCCTCAAATTCAGTGACTCAGTAAAACTCAGTTATGATCTGTCTGCTTCCCTTTAATCAAGTAGATTCTATTTATTATGCTATTATTAATTGCATGTATATTTTAAAGAATGGAATTATAACAAGAAATCCTTAGCTATACTATGATTAGAAAGCTTGCCAAAAAATCCAAATGAGCTAAAGGACAATGGAGCGATTTCTCCATTTAAGAAAAGTTTTAAAATTGTATTTTTTGTTGTTGTTCTAGACAAAGACAAGTAGATCAGGACTGAAAATGCAAGGGATGAAGACAGAAATTTTGTCCTCTCCCTCAAATCCCTTTCCCCCAATTAAACTGTTCCTCAGTTTGATTGACCATTCCTTTAGAGTTGTTATTTGAGATCATGCTGGGAAGCAAAGATACAAAATGTATTTGTGTTCACCCAGGGAACAGTATTTCAGAGGAAGCTGTGGACTGTTTAAGAAATTTGAATCATTGAACTCTGGGAGATATAGTCATGATTTTGCTTGATTTAACTAACACTTTATGTTGTGGCTTGCTGGTAAGGTGCCAGGTGCTAAGTCACTTCAGTCATGCCTGACTCTTTGTGACCCTGTGGACCGTAGCCCGCCTGGCTCCTCTGGCAAAAACATAAGTGGGCTGCATACCCTCCTCCAAGGGATCTTCCTGACCCAGGGATCAAACCCACATCTCTTACAGCTCTTGCATTGGCAGGCAGGTTCTTTACCACTGTGCCACCTGGGAAGCCATAGTAATAATGATTTTAGTTAAATTTTAGGTTTATGCAACAATCATATGTGGTACTTCAGTGAATATCACCAATAGCTGATAGAAGATTAAATGATCAATCTGAAAGCCTTTTAGATCCTGGGCGCTTTTTTTCACAGTGCCTTTTCTAAAGGGCAGCGAGTGTTGGCTCTGTCTATCAAATCTCAAGTCCTGAATGAAATAACCTCTTTGATCTAACTGTAAGAATGGACAATTATTGTTCAACTTTCTTTGGTGTTTTATTGGGGAAATTATACACCCTGGCTTTGGGGTGGGAACATTTCACAGCTCTAAAGTACAAGGTCCTTTCTAGTTTCCAAAGGCAAGTAGTCATCACACACACGGTGCTAGGCAATTACAGCATCCCTATCTTCAAGGCTTTCATTGCCTAGAGCAAAGAGCAGGGTGGAGGCAATATAGCTTCCAGGCAAGAACAGGGTGGAAGCAATTATCCAGATAAAACAGATTAGAATATCACTAAGTGTAAGTGTTAGTGCTCAGTTGTGCCCAACTCTTTGCAACCCCATGGACTGCAGGAGCTGCATAAATAATCCCATTACCATCTAGAAGGCTTCTGCAATCCATGTCCTTGTTGCTGTGCTGTGCTTAGTCACTCACTCATGTCCGACTCTTTGCATCCCGTGGACTGTAGCCTGCCAGGCTTCTCTGTCTTTGGGGATTCTCCAGGCAAGAATACTGGAGTGGGTTGCCATGCCCTCTTCCAGGGGATCTTCCCTACCTAGGAATCGAACCCGTCTCCTGCATTGCAAGTGGAGACTTTTTACCATCTGAGCCACCAGGGAAGCCCATGTCCTTGTTAATAAAGCTAAAGAAAGCCCAGAACAGTGGATGCCACAGTATTTCATTCCCAGGGCAAGAAAAACATCAATATTCTTTCATCTACAGTCAGATGGGTCTTGAGCAGTAGTCTCCAGAAACCTCTGCCTCAACTTCTTGCTTTTCTCTGGCACATAAAAAGGGACAGCAAACTCCCCAACAATCTAGGTATTTTCTTGCCTAGCGGGGTCAGAGATGAATAGGGTACAATGTTCCTATAATCTTTAGATTGTGAGCACCTTCCCTTGCCAGGGAGGCTGGTGCTATTTCTTACATCTTACAGTGAGAGAAGCAGTTACAAAATGTTTTGCTGGCAGTCCAGTAGCAGACAGAGTCTGCTTTCTAAGTCCCTAGGGTTACGGGTGTGCTCCTTTTGATTTTGCAATTTCCCTTCAATGACACAATGCACATGAGCTTAACTCCTGTGGCACAGGGGAAAACCAATGGTCTCCAAAAGTCACTTGACTGCCAGAGAAGCTGTGCTCTTCTATTGCAATGTGCTAGAATAAATAGCCCTTTTGTTGGTATTGCTTTGAGGAGGACTAAAAAGTATGACAACTTGGAGGCTATGGCACTCCTTGGAAATTTCTTTGTGGGAGCTTCAATTCCCTCTCTGGACCCCTAGTCTCCTGAGGGCAGAGCAGCTGTGTGAGGCAGGAGAGGAAAAGAGAGTTCTTCTTCCAGATGCAGAACCTTGCCCTGGCACTATTCCTCATGGAGGAGAGCCATGGAGTGACTTACTGGAAAAAGTGCCCTACATTCAAGGCCTGGCTGGCTCTCCTTCAAACTGCACTTCATTGGTCATTCATCTTATCTCCCAGGGTAACAGTGAACAAATTTTTCTTTTCTTTTCTTTTGACCATGCCACATGGCTTGTTGGATCTTAGTTTGCTGACCAGAGATCGGATCTGGGCCCTTGGCATGGAGAGCTTGGAGTCCTAACAACTGGACCACCAGGGAATTCCAACAATTAAAATATTAACATTTGCTATGTAGTGCTGTCTAGAATGGAGAGAGGACTGGAGCCCAGAAAACATAACTTTGGAAGGTTTTACAGGACAAAATAGTTCTCATTCCAGAATGGCTGTAAACATTCTGTAGGCAAAGTGGTCTACCATGCCATCTGTCTAGCTGTATTTTTCACTCTTGTCCTCCACATGTAAGTTTCATGGGGGAAAGAAATCAATGGACACAAGTTCAAAGTTGTGTTCACTTTAGTAAAGTTTCCCAGTGTTCTCATGCCACATACTCTATGACTCTAATATTACCATACATGAAAACATGATATGTTGTCTATAGTGTTATGGACTTAGCATTAAGCAACTTAGTGTTGCTTGAGCTTGAGTCAAAAACAACATGCTCTGCCAGTTCCCACACCAAGACACCAACATAGTTTGCAAAATGCAGAACATCCAGGTCTCACTTACCCCATGATAGCAGGCAGTGATCCATCTGGCTTGGTATCATCCAGCGTTATTGAAATTGGAGCTTCCTCATCTTCGATAATCATACAGCCACAGTAATCTTAACCAGAAGAAAAATAATAGGAGATTGAGAAACTTCACCAGGGATTTAGGAAGGACATTTTAAAATATATATATAAAACTATTTTTCTAAGAGGAAGGCAAAACTCAAACTATTGGTCTTTGCCCCGATCCCAGAAGTTCTTTTCCATTAAATACACTCACTGATTAAACAAGGATGTTTGGTCACCCAGACACATTAGAAAATGACCCATCTCAATGACTTTTACATAAAGGTCAGGTATGATCAATGCATGAGTAAAATTGTAAGATGGCCTTGGTGTTGTTGAATACACAAGAAACAGTAGGATGTGTTAGAAGGAATTGCCTCTGGGAAACCAGGGAAGAAATGGCAAGAAGGAATCCTTTTAGTATGAGATGAAGGCTTAGCAACAACTGACACCATATCCGCCCAGACCCTGCCTCATGCCAACACCCCGACAGGAAGTCTCATTGTTACCATTTTATACAGAGGCTGAGGCTGAGAGGTGAAGTGTCACCTGAGGCAACACAGCTAGTAAGCAAGTGGGGCCCAGGAATGTGTGACTTCAAAGAAGCGCTCTTTCACGGTGGTTCTTTGTCTCACTGTGCTCATGAAGAGGAAGTGGTGAGACATACGCCAGGGGCCTGGGCAATATGGCCCTGCAACTGGAGGGCCTGCTTCCTTGCCTCTCACTGCCAGCAAGCGCTCTTGGGGCCATTTTGCGTTGCTGGGGACTATGAAGAAATGGACAGACTGAGATTTCTGATCCTTTCTCTGCCAACTGGAAACACATCTTTTTTCCATTCAATGTGTAGTATATGTTCCCACTGAAATGAACTGATATGTTCCTAAAAAAGAGTGCAGTCTTCTCTTAATACAATTTAAACATGAATAAACACAGCCTACCCTTTTTCTTCCAAAAGGCCTCCTTGTAATACATCATGCACTTAATGACAGCCCCCATTGGAAGACGCTGTATCAGCTGGTTTCGCTCTGGTGGAAGCTCTGGTCTAAAGTGTATCTTGGCAGTCAAAGTTGGTGGGATGGCGCTAATGACATATCGGCACTGAAACAAACAGACAGAAAATACCATCTCAAATGTGAGTCACAGTCTTAGAAGGGGACATGAAACATCACATTTATCATTTTGAGGGACACTAAGCAGTCACAATGTACAGTATGAGACCACTGCGAGGCAACAACACAGAACAAGGCACATCAGTTCAGTTCAGTTCAGTTGCTCAGTCGTCACATCAACTAAGGCTAATAATTTGGAAGACTGAGTCAGAAATATGCCAGCATCAATCATGCCACTGCTTGGATTATATTTGGTTAGAAGCTGCAGAAGACAGAAACGTGTTAGTCGCTCAGTTGTGACTGACTCTTTGCGAGCCCGCCAGGCTCCTCTGTCCATGGAATTCTCCAGGCAAGAATACTGGAGTAGGTGGCCATTCCCTTCTCCAGGGGATCCTTCCCCACCCAGGGATCGAACCCAGGTCTCTTGCATTGCAGGCAGATTCTTCACCATCTGAGCCACCAGGCTGCCACGGACCTACTCAATATAAGCTCTTTAAATTTTATTTATTTATGGGCCACACCATGAGGCAGGCAGGATCTTAGTTCTCTAACTAGGGGATGGAACTTGTGCCCCCAAGTCCTAACCACTGGACCATCAGGGAATTCCCATAATACACATTTCTTTTGACAAAACTGAATTACCTCATAAAGTTCATGATTCAGGGTCTCTATGGAGATGTTTTCACTTGACTGGTCAACATAGGTGACAGGACTCCTCAGTTTCACCTTGTCCCCTAGGAGCTGCATTATCCGTTCGCTTACTTGACCAGATCCACCTACAAACTTCCGTTCCTACAGGAAAAGGCAGGCAGGGATGGAAGTGTGACAAACGCCCCAGGAAGGAAAGCCATATTTACCACTGATTAGAAACCTCTGGAAAATCACAGGCCATACCTCCACTCTCTGCACTGTTAACTGTTAGAAGAACTCATTAGGACAGGGACAGTCTACCAAGACACCTCAGTCACCATGCTCTATGCAGCTTCACGTGACAAAAAGCTGTTACTGATTTATGGAATCACAGAATCAGTGGGAAGGGATGAACTGGGAGATTGGGATTGACATTATATATATAAAATAGATACCTAATAAGAACCTACTGTGTAGTACAGGGAACTCTACTCAATACTCTGTTAAAGGCCTATATGGGGAAACAATCTATTAAAAAAGAGTGGATATATGCATATGTATAACTGATTCACTTTGCTGTATACCTGAAACTAACATGACATTGGAAATCAACTATATCTCAATAAAAATTTAAAATCAAATCACAGAATCAGAAGGAAGGTTTCCCTAGACCACTGGCACCTTGACTGAATGCAAATATCAGCAAGCTTCAAATGCCCAAGAGTGCAGTGGATGGAGGGTGTCTGGCAACAGGGAAGGTGCTGCGATTCTCCCAGGGGGAGGCGGTTTCCTTTTTTTAAAAAAATTGATTATTTTTTTCTAGTTTCACTGAGATAGGGATGCAGTTTCTTAACTCCCTTCAGTTTCTGAAAGTCCCAGGCCAGGACTGTCTAGGCGCAACAGGCTCATGGTGCTCTCAAGGATCACCTGGTCATCACCAAAAGATGTTCTAAGAATCTAAATCTCAGCTGTTGAGAACGTTTTGCCAAAATGCCTGGAAGTTTCACTGGGAGGACAGAAAAGTGAAGGCTAAGCATCTGCCTATTCCTCCAGACATTGTGGACTATCTCCCTTGAGCAGCTCTATAAGACCATGAGTGCTACACCCTAGTGCCATCTGCTACACTCACCACGGAAATGCTTCCAGCTTAATCTAAGGTCAGTCCTTAATACAGTGTATTTTGTAAGAACCAGGGGAATATTTTTAGCCTGCTAGAGATGACCATCTTTGAATGATTAGAAATACAAGTAGGCAGACTGAAGCACAGCCCAACATTGTTCAATTAGGTACCTTAATCACGTTCCTCCAGAAAGCCTGTGCCAGCAGCCACACAATAATTTTTACACTTGAATAACTGGCTATTGTTTTAATGATACCACTATAGCTCCTTATAAAAGCATTACCAAAGTAGTTTGGTTTCATGATCTGTCCATCCTCACAAAACCGGAACCATTTAATAATTTGACCTCTGTTTTCCAAGAGTTACTCTGAATGTTAGTATAGTGGAAAGACCAGGAACTCTTTTCCATCTTCATATCTAGTATTTGTTGAACTAAACTATTAAAGGATAAATAACTATTAAACTATTAAAGGATAAATCTAAGTTCTTTGTAAAGGTATTGTGATAATGGTTTTACATTCATAATCTGAACTATGCCCTCCAAAAGGTCATGTGGAGTTTGCCTAGAAGTATCTTGGCTCCTCTGAATGAGGAATATAACACAGTACTGTAAAGGAATTATCTTTCAATTAAAAAATAAATTAAATATATATATTATATATATAAATTGAGTCAAGATGTTTCCAAAAGACAAATATAGGTTAAAAGGAGTAATATGGGATTTCTAGATGTAAAGGCACTTAAAAAATTCGACTGCCTTATGTTTGCTAAAGCTGAAGGTCAAACTGGCAACCATAAGAACAACTTAGGGACTTCTGGAGGTCTCCCAAGGAGAGGAATAATTCACTAAGTTGACAATGACTCTACACCTCATACTGTGAAACAGAGCATAAGTTAGAACTAAATTGCTCCCAATTAAACCTTATCCCATCGAGGCATAACATTCCTAGAAAAGAGACACCCATTTTCTTTCACTAAGGGAGAGTCTTGAAATAAAGAATCACGGAGTTTGGAAAATCCGGGAATTGAAATTCTGGCTTTACTACTGGCTTGTTGTGTATCCAATCAGGGAGCCAGATGAGTTACATTCATTAGTAACGGCTGTGGTATCAGTTCAGTTCAGTCCAGTCGCTGAGTCGTGTTCGACTCTTGGCAACCCCATGGACTGCAGCACATCAGGCCTCCCTGTCCATCACCAACTCCTGGAGTTTACTCAAATTCATGTCCATCGAGTCGGTGATGCCATCCAACCATCTCATCCTCTATCGTTCCCTTCTTCTCTGCCTTCAATCTTTCCCAGCACAAGGGTCTTTTCAAATGAGTCAGTTCTTCGCATCAGGTGGCCAAAGTATTGGAGTTTCAGCTTCAGCATCAGTCCTTCTAATGAATATTCAGGACTGATTTCCTTTAGGATTGACTGGTTTGATCTCCTTGCACTCCCTGGGACTCTCAAGTCTTCTCCAACACCACAGTTCAAAAGCATAAATTCACTGGGGCATCAGAGTCTTGCTGAGTTGCATCTGCTTCTTGTTGGCTCAGTATTTCTTATGAAGAAGATCTTGAAGTATAGAGGCCTAATTATTTAAAATACTAAGTCACTCTACGTTTCCATTTTATTAATGGAATATTGCAATCAGTTGTAAACTAATAACCTTATATAGTGATTTGCACACAGACTCCTTGAACAAAATCTGTAAAGTACAAAAAGTATCTTATTTGAATGCTTAAGTTTTTTCCATAGTCATAATAATGGCTTTTACATTGAAAGACTAATAGGAATTCTACATATATTAATTATTTGATAAAATCTAGACTCAAATCAGTGTACTCTCCATTTTATTGCCTTACCTGAATCAGTCCTATTAAGTTGGTAATAGATTTTTTTAATATGCCCAAATTTGATTTAAAAGTAAACTCTAGTTATTAAGCACTTAAAAAAAGAAATCCAGAAGCATATTTTCCCTGCACAAATCAGTTACAAAGTTCAAAAGTGTTTCTTAGGTCTTAAGACTCAGTTTTTAACTTTGTAAACCACATCTGAAGACTTGGCACTTCTGCATTATTGTGTTTCATTTCTTTCTCTTTTTTTTTCTATTTTGGTTAAGAGGATAGTATAAAAAGATTTTCAGGCATTCTTGTTCACTTGGTTAATTTATATAAGCTTCTGATTGTCAGTTGCTCAGATAACAAGTGACAAGGGAGAATTCTTGAAAGCATTAAAGTTCCTTAAACCTAAGGCTAAATCTTGAATATATTATTGAATTCTTTACTATCCTGATGGCTGGCAGATTGACAGCTGAACATTTGACATGCTGTGGTTTTTGGTTCTGGGAGTGTTTTTGGACTTTATTTTTCATTGCAGATTTATTTGGCAATGTACAGTAAAATTTGTAAACTTGCATCAAGTTTATGAATAAAGAACCACTTTTATTTTATTTTTTTTTAAAGAACCACTTTATAAAAAGCACCAATTCTTTGGCACTCAGCTTTCTTTATAGTCCAACTCTCACATCCATACATCACTACTGGAAAAACCATTGCCTTGACTAAATGGACCTGTGTTGGCAAAGTAATGTCTCTGCTTTTTAATATGCTGTCTAGATTGGTCATAACTTTCCTCTCAAGGAGCAAGTGTCTTTCAATTTTATGGCTGCAGTCACCATCCACAGTGATTTTGGAGCCCAAAAAGATAAAGCCTGCCACTGTTTCCACTGTTTCCCCATCTATTTGCCATGAAGTAATGGGACTGGATGCCATGATCTTACTTTTCTGAATGTTGAGCTTTAAGCCAACTTTTTCACTCTCCTCTTTCACTTTCATTAAGAGCTCTACTTCTTCTTTGCTTTCTGCCATAAGGGTGGTGTCATCTGCATATCTGAGGTTATTGATATTTCTCCTGGCAATCTTGATTCCAGCTTGTGCTTCAGCCAGACCAGCACTTCTCATGATGTACTCTGCATATAAGTTAGATAAGCGGGGTGACAACATACAGCCTTGACATACTTCTTTCCCGATTTGGAACCAGTCTGCTGTTCCATGTCCAGTTCTAACTGTTGCTTCCTGACATGCATACAGATTTCTCAAGAGGCAGGTCAGGTGGTCTGGTATTCCCATCTCTTTAAGAATTTTCCACAGTTTGTTGTGATCCACACAGTCAAAAAGGCTTTGGCATAGTTAATAAAGCAGAAGTAGATGTTTTTCTGCAACTCGCTTGCTTTTTCGGTGATTGAATGGATGCTGGCAGTTTGATCTCTGGTTCCTCTGCCTTTTCTAAATCCAGCTTGAACATCTGGAAGTTCACGGTTCATGTACTGTTGAAGCTTGTCTTGGAGAAATTTGAGCATTACTTTACTAGCGTGTGAGGTGAGTGCAATAGTGTGGTAGTTTGAGCATTCTTTGGCATTGACTTGCTTTGGAATTGGAGTGAAAACTGACCTTTTCCAGTCCTGTGGCCACTACTGAGTTTTCCAAATTTGCTGGCATATTGAGTGCAGCACTTTCACAGCATCATCTTTTAGGATTTGAAGTAGCTCAACTGGAATTTCATCATCTCCACTAGTTTTGTTCGTAGTGATGCTTCCTAAGACCCACTGGACTTCGCACTCTAGGGTATTTGGGTCTAGGTGAGTGATCATACCATCATGATTATCTGGGTCATGAAGATCTTTTTTTGTATAGTTCTGTGTATTCTTGCCACCTCTTCTTAATATCTTCTGCTTCTGTTAGGTCCATACCATTTCTGTCCTTTATTGTGCCCATCTTTTCATGAAATGTTCCCTTTGTATCTCTAATTTTCTTGAAGAGATCTCTAGTCTTTCCCATTCTATTGTTTTCCTCTATTTCTTTGCATTGATCACTGGGGAAGGCTTTCTCATCTCTCCTTGCTATTCTTTGGAACTGTGCATTCAAATGGGTATATCTTTCCTTCTCTTCTTTTCATAGCTATTTGTAAGGCCTCCTCAGACAGCCATTCTGGTTTTTTGCATTTCTTTTTCTTGGGGATGGGCTTGGTCTCTGCCTCCTATATAATGTCATGAACCTCCATCCATAGTTCTTCAGGCACTCTATCAGATCTAGTCCCTTGAATCTATTTGTCACTTCCACTATATAATCATAAGGGATTTGATTTAGGATGTGGTATAGAAGCAGGGCAAATGCTAGTAGGCAGCAAAATTTATCCCCAAAATGTAGAATTTAATTGAAAGAGTAACCAGAAATCACTTGTATTAGAAGAATAGTCAATTCCATTCTATAACAGTTAACATAAACTAATAACTCTGAGACACAGAATGGGACCAAAAGTCTCATGCCTGGAACAGAGATGACTTTAATGACAATTTTACAAGCACTAGATTTTTTTGAAAATTAGTTGATTTTAATAACTGAGCTCCTCCTACATAGTCTAATTTCACCTGCTCCCAAAAGGAAGGAACTGAATTCCTCAAACAAAATTCAAAATGAAATATTCTTTAGTCGTGAACCTATTTCTGGAAATGAGAAAATTTTGTTTTCAGAAAAGTTTTTTTGAAATTGTTTCAAATTCACTCATGTTTCAAAATATAGAAGCAATTATTAAGATACTGCACTGGCTGAGGATAAAATCAGACGTGAAGTTTAGTGTGAGAATGGACACTTCATACCTGGCCTCCGTTGGTAATGGAGAATATCCGAGTAGTGCCTCCACATTGTTTCACGTACCACAAGAACCACAGGGCAGACACCTCATGGGGTTCAGAGGTCACATTGATATTCACAAAGAGAGATGCAAACTGCCGAGCAGTCCTGGTCATAGAACAAGAGTCAGGAGTAAATACATACATGCTTCACATGACATTATCTTTTAAAAACATAAGTTAGTATGGTTAGAAACCATTTCTATGCCTTTAAAAAATACTCATGGACTCAGAATGCAGATTTGAACTCTCAGGGAAAATAATTTTTTCCTGACTTGTTGGAAATTATGGGTTAGCTCCAAACATGCTAATCCAGTGCAGTCTAAAAGGCTAATATGCTTGTCAGGGTTCATTGAGGATATTGTTTTCACTTATTTGAACAAACTTCCTCTCCTCAACACCTCCACTGCCCCCACCCTGGTCCAGGCTACCACTGTCCCTCACCTGGGTTAAAACAGTGATGGCTGCTCCTGGGTAACCCTACCTAGTCATATGACTACATTCCTTCACGATCCTTCTCTATATTACAGCCAATTAAGTCTTTCCACAGTCCAAAACTAAGAAACAAACAAAATAAACAAAAAATAAACACTCTGCTTGGTGGTGGTGGTTTAGTTGCTAAGTCATGTCCGACTCTTGTGACCCCATGGACTGTAGCCTGCCAGACTCCTCTGTTCATGGGATTCTCCAGGCAAGAATACTGGAGTGGGTTGTCATTTCCTTCTCTAACCCTTCAATGATGTTAACAGCAAAGGTCAAAAAGTCTAGTATATGGTCAATAATGTGTCTTGCACCATCAGCCTCTCAAGTTCTGTAAACTCCCATACATCATTTCCTCATGGCATCTTTATGGTCTAGGCATACATACTGTTCACTCATTGTTAAAACATGTCAATCTACCCATCTTGGGGGCCTTCATAAGCTGCCTCTTCTATACTGGGCATGGGGGTGGGCATTTCCCACACTATCCAACCTTCACATCTCCCACCATTATTTGTGGCCGATTACTGGAAAATACCATGCCTCAACCATTCATCCTTCCATCCATCCTATCCACTATGAATTATTCCTGAAAGAAACCATCCCTCCCCCTTTACTATTTTTCCCCATTACTATGGCTCGCTACTGCAACATCACCCCTCCTCACCAACCGTATCTCCTGTCTCCTCCATCCACTATGGCTCATTCCTGAAAGATACCATTTATTGCATTACCCACCTTTCCTGTCTTCCTCCATCACTGTGGCTCACCTGTGAGATACCAACACCCCACACCATCCACTGGTCCTGTTTCCAATTCATTGTGATTTATTCCTGGAACATATATCCTCCCCATACCCTGATCTCCACTCATCCACTGGGCTCATTCATGGAAGACACATCATCCCCCAACACCATCCATCAGTTCTATATCCCCCCATCAACTGACTCATTCTTTAAGATACATGGACAAAAACATCCTCCTCACCACCCATCCTTCCTGACAGCTTCCCACCATTAATTGCAGGTCATTATTGGAAGATTCCATCCTGCCACATTATCCACCTTTCTCCATCTACCCCCATCCACCGTGTCTCATTTCAGAAAGATGTCACCATTCATATCATCCACGCTTCCTTTCTCCACCATCCACTGCTGCTCATTCCTTGTTGATACCATCCCCTCACACCATCCTCTTTTCCTCCCATCACTATGGTTCACTCTTAGAAGATACATTGCACCAAACCATCCATCCTTACTATCTCCCCCCATTCACTGTGGCTCATTTCTGGAAGATACCATCCCCTCATACCATACTCTTCCTGTCATCCATCAACTGACTTATTCTTGGAAGATACCATCTCCCCACGTCATCTACTCTTCCTGTCTCCTCCATCAACTGACTTGTCATTGGAAGATACCATCTATACATATCATCCCTCTTTCCTCTCTCCCCCTACCCACCGTGCTTCATTCCTGAGAAATACCACCATCTCACATAATATATCTTTTATATCCTCCACCAATTGGTGCATTTCTCAAAGATACTATCCCCACAACGACACAACCTCCCCACCTTCCTCCATCCACTGTGGCTTATCCTGGAAGACACCATCCCACCATATCATCCATCCTTCCTGTCTCTACCCATGCACTATGGCTTATTCTTGGCACATACCTGCCTCCCACACCATCCATCTTTCCTGTTTCCCCTGTCAACAGAGGCTCATACCCAGAAGATACCAGTCTGCTACACCATCCACTATTTCCTGTCCCCTGCACACAATATGGTTTATTCCTGGACACAGCAACCCCACACACCATCCACCCTTCCTTTCTCTCTCATCAACTGGCTCATTCTTAAAACACACCATGTGCACACACATCTTTTATGTCTCCTTCCATCCCCTGTGGTTCATTCCTGAAAGATACCATCCCCTCACAGCATCCATTTTCTGGTCTCCCTCATCTACTGGCTCATTCCTGGAATATACCATCTCCTCACACCATCCCCTCTTCCTAACTTCCCTATCCCGTTAATCATCCTGCAAGATACCATTTACCCATACTAAACACCCTTCCTATCTTCTCCCACCCTCTATGGCACCTTCAATGAAGATTCTTAATTCCCACAGCATCCACCCTTCCTGTCTCCCCCATCTATTATGGCTCATTCATTGAAGATGCCATTCTCTCACACCATCTATCTTTCCCCTTTCCCTCATCCATTAGGCACATTCCTGGAAGATAGCTTGCCCTCACACCATCCATCCTTCCTTGTCCCTTACCACCCTCTGTGGCTCATTCTTAGTTGATGTAGTAACTCCTTTGTTTCAACAAGGAATCTCTCCTTCACCCTCAAGAGAGGTTAGGTTCCCCCATTTCAATCTCTCCTAGAATTATGTAACATGTGTATAATTACAGTCTCTCCTGCTAAAAATATATCAACTCCATGAGGTTAGGGGCCATGCATCATAAGTTCACCACCATTCCGCAGTGCTTCGTATGGTGCCTTCACACAGAAGCCCCAAAATGCTGACAGAATGATCTGTAACTCAGTTAATAACACAGATTCTCATTGAAAACATATAATTTATAGTTTTTATTAATATAGACTAGCTTCCCTCTAGTTATCCTGTATTTATATGAAATTACTTTAACTCCTTTCCAAATTGATTTTGCAGCTGACCTCTATATTATCTGAAAACACAATTACTTCTTTTATGGCAAAGTGCACAATTCTTTCATTAAAAAAAAAGTTCAGCTTCCTTCACCTATTTTTCTTCTTATGTTTTAGATTCACTTTATGTTGAATCCTGCTCTGAGTGTCTCAAGGGCCCTTAAAGTCACTATTGATGGAAAGGTCATTAAGTTTTCCCTTAACTTTTCCTATACCTTATGAAGAAAAACTCTGAAGTTCAAGATAGGATAGGGACAATATGAAGGGAAGATAAAAAGTACATTTTAAATAGTCAATATTACTTTGTCCAGCAGATTTTTTCGATGAGATCTTTCATAGTCATCTTATCCCATTCCACTGCATGTGGGGCCTCCCATGGTGCATCAGCTGGAATCTGCAAAGAAAGGAAGGCTGACATTTAGGTCTGATGGTTACTACCCACTGGACTGCCAAAAAGCCCTCAGGAGAAACTCTGAAAACTGGTTTCTCTATGTTGGAATGTGTGATGTGCATAGAATCCTATTTACCTATAGACAGTGGTGTATACATACACTACATGTGTATACTACGAACCCAGTGGTGGGTTTGGGATGGATAGCTCTTTGGATTCTATGCCCTAATGTTGTTGCCAAAATAATACCTAAATATATGCATTAATATAAATTAATATGTAATTATGATGGTCATCATAATTATTATTGAAAGCTAATGGAAGAGGCTATGGTAACCCACTCAAGTATTCTTGCCTGGAGAATCTCATGGACAGAGGAGCCTGGTGGGCTACTGTCCATAGGGTTGCAAAGAGTCAGACATGACTGAAGAGACTTAGCATGCACACATGTGCCCACAACAGTCATTTTAAATTCCCAAATTAAGTTTGAGAATATAGTTATTGAGTTACTGATACTCAGTGAAAAAACACTTTGAGGAAACAAATCTTTCTCCCCTTTATTATCTCAGGTGGCATAATATATGGATAAGATCACTCTAAGTAGGATTCCCAGTAAAAATATGTCGTATAAATACTCAGTGGCATAGAGTTGAAAACACACAGGTACACACATTAGTATCAGAGACATGTGGGTTTGAATCCTGGTTCCCTTGTTGTATGATCTTGGAGAAATTATGTAACCCCTTGGCACTGAATTTCTTCTCACTAAAGCAGAAATACTACCAAAGTGGCAGAGTTATTGGGCACATTGGAAATGATATGCATCAATGTTCCCTGCACTGTGGAAGGATATTAAACATTTGCTATTGATTTCAGTCACAGGTTAAGGGCAAGCTGAACACACACTTTACCTCTTTTCCCATGTTATCCATGGTCCGCCACAGGTTGTTGTAATCCAGATAGGCAATGGGATTCCATACTGGAGGGAAGGCACCCCGAAATGGATAAGTTTTTCCCTAAAAGAAAAGGATAATATGTTAAATTAGGATGACATTCTAAAAATCCCAACCAGGCAACCTCAGAGCCATTTTCAAAGAAACAGGATCCTCTACCGTGTCAAAAAGCAATGATGGACAGCACCTATATAAGACTCAAATTACAGTTAGATTATCAAGAATTCCCTAGTGTCATTTTAGCTGGTTTTGACTGATTTTTTTTTTTTTTTGGCTGTTTGGCTTGTGGGATCTCAGTTCCCAGACCAGGGGTTGAACCTGGGCCCTGTCAATGAAAACCTAGAATCCTAACCACTTAGCCACCATTTACTTCATTTCAGTTGTGTGACAGGCACTGTGCTACTATGAAGGGAGGGTGAATCCTTAGGAAAAGAGAGCAGGTCTAGATTCTTCCTAAGGCTTTCTTTTCTTTCTTTTTTTTTTTGGTCACGCCATACAGCTTATGGGATCTTAGTTCCCTGCCAGGGACTGAACCCATGCCCTTTGCATTGGAAGCGCCATGGAATTCCCTTTATTTCCTAACTGAATTCCTTTTTCTTTAAAACATCTTGTAAATCTTCATAAGGTCAAAACATTGTCTATTAATACATTTTGCACACAATTTCCATTTTATTGATTAGAAACATATTCAGTATTTGTAGAAAGCCTACTGTGTGTACTGTGTGCACTGAACAATATTAAGAGCTAGATTTTTAAAAAGGGCTGAAGTAAGACTCCTGATCATCAAGGCAGGGACACAAGACAGAAGAGCATTGGCATTCATGGGTGCACACTCACACACACTCTCCAACTGAGTAAGACTACATGGCGGCCATTAAGTGACAAAGGAGTAATTTTCCCTTCCAGAGTAGCAAATTCAAATAACCTTGGAAGATTATGTGATCTGATTTCTTATCTGAAAATGCTGTGTTGTAATGCTGCAAGACAAAGACTCCAAATCCTTTATCATCATCACTACCACCATCACCACTATTATTACTAATAGTCATTAAGATCTTTTTCCATGCCTGGCACTGGCCTAAGCTCTTTCTATGCATTGTCTCCTGTAATGCTCACCCCAACCCTCTGGAGGAAAGAACTATTAATATTCCCATTTTACAAATGAGGAAACCAAACCTTAGTGATATTAGCTAGAAAACAGTAGGACAGAAATTTCCTGCTCCCACAGCATTTGCTCATAAACAATAAGCTTTCCGGCCTCTTATTTGATTGATGGAATGTTGAGATAGTTTTGTCCAAGAGACATCTTAAACTTCCTGACTAAAAGAAAGAGAACTCTGAAATGTGAACCTTATAAATCTTCCACACATCTTTTATGTTTCTAAGGAATAAACAAGGAGACTAAGAAGCTCAAGGGTAACAGGGTCAACTTTGGAAAATGTGCAAGAATGTTCTGAGAGAAACTGGCAGACACAAAAATAACTATGTACAGGAGAGAGGCTGGATTAAATAATAGTTTGCAAGCAGCCTTCAGAACAGTTGGCTCTTGTTGCAATTCTTTCCTTAGTTGAAACTTTAAAAAAAATCTATATTTTATACTCAAGTAATAGTCTTATACCAAACTTACCTTTGCTTTGAAAAAAAAAAACAGTTTAAGAAAATCCTTCAGTTCAGTTCAGTCGCTCAGTCATGTCTGACTCTTTGTGACCCCATGGACTGCAGCACACCAGGTCCCCCCGTCCAACACCAACTCCCGGAGACCACCCAAACTCATGTCCATTGAGTTGGTGATGCCATTCAACCATCTCATCCTCTGTCATCCCCTTCTCCTCCTGCCCTCAATCTTTCCCAGCATCAGGGTCTTTTCAAGTGAGTCAGCTCTTTACGTCAGGTGGCCAAAGTATTGGAGTTTCAGCTTCAGCATCAGTCCTTCCAATGAACACCCAGGACTGATCTCCTTTAGGATGGACTGCTTGGATCTCCTTGCAGTCCAAGGGACTCTCAAGAGTCTTCTCCAACACCACAGTTCAAAAGCATCAATTCTTCGGCACTTAGCTTTCTTTATAGTGCAACTCTCACATCCATACATGACTACTGGAAAAGCAATAGCCTTGACTAGACGGACCTTTGTCGGCAAAGTAATGTCTCTGCTTTTAAATATGCTATCTAGGTTGGTCATAACTTTTCTCCCAATGAGTAAGCATCTTTTAATTTCATGGCTGCAATCACCACCTGCAGGGATTTTGGAGCCCCCCAAAATAAAGTCTCTCACTGTTTCCACTGTTTCCCCATCTATTTGCCATGAAGTGATGGGACCAGATGCCATGATCTTAGTTTTCTGAATGTTGAGCTTTAAGCCAACTTTTTCACTCTCCTCTTTCACTTTCATCAAGAGGCTCTTTAGTTCCTCTTCACTTTCTGCCATAAGGGTGGTGTCATTTGCATATCTGAGGTAATTGATATTTCTCCCTGCAATCTTGATTCCAGCTTGTGCTTCCTCCAGGCCAGCGTTTCTCATGATGTACTCTGCATAGAAGTTAAATAAGCAGGGTGACAATATACAGTACTACTTTTCCTATTTGGAACCAGTGTGTTGTTCCATTTTCGGTTCTAACTGTTGCTACCTGACCTGCATACAGGTTTCTCGAGAGGCAGGTCAGGTGGTCTGGTATTCCCATCTCTTTCAGAATTTTCCACAGTTTATTGTGATCCACACAGTCAAAGGCTTTGGCATAGTCAATAAAGCAGAAATAGATGTTTTTCTGGAACTCTCTTGCTTTTTCGATGATCCAGCAGATGTTGGCAATTTGATCTCTGGTTCCTCTGCCTTTTCTAAAACCAGCTTGAACATCTGGAAGTTCACGGTTCATGTATTGCTGAAGCCTGGCTTAGAGAATTTTGAGCATTACTTTACTAGCGTGTGAGATGAGTACAATTTTGCGGTAGTTTGAGCATTCTTGGGATTGCCTTTCTTTGGGATTGGAATGAATACTGACCTTTTCCAGTCCTGTGGCCACTGCTGTTTTCCAAATTTGCTGGCATGTTGTGTGCAGCACTTTCACAGCATCATCTTTTAGGATTTAAAGTAGCTCAACTGGAATTCTATCACCTCCACTAGCTTTGTTCATACTGTTGCTTTCTAAGGCCCATTTGACTTCACATTCCAGGATCTCTGGCTCTAGGTGGGTCATCACACCTAGAGTCATCTAGGTGGATCATCACACCATCATGATTATCTGGGTCATGAAGATCTTTTTTGTATAGTTCTGTGTATTCTTGCCACCTCTTCTTAATATCTTCTGCTTCTGTTAGGTTCATATTATTTCTGTCCTTTATCAAACCCATCTTTGCATAAAATGTCCCCTTGGTATCTCTAATTTTCTTTCTTTTTTTCATTTATTTTTATTAGTTGGAGGCTAATTACTTTACAATATTGTAGTGGTTTTTGTCATACATTGACATGAATCAGCCTCTAATTTTCTTGAAGAGATCTCTAGTTTTTCCCATTCTGTTGTTTTCCTCTATTTCTTTGCATTGATCGCTGAGGAAGGCTTTCTTATCTCTCCTGGCTATTCTTTGGAACTCTGCATTCAAATGGGAATATCTTTCCTTTTCTCCTTTGCTTTTTGCTTCTCTTCTTTTCACAGTTATTTGTAAGGCCTCCTCAGACAACCATTTTGCCTTTTTACATTCATTTCCACGGGGATGGCCTTGATCCCTGTCTTCTGTACAATGTCACAAACGTCCATCCATAGTTCATCAGGCACTCTGTTTATCAGATCTAGTCCCTTAAATCTACTTTCTCACTTCCACTGTATAGTCATAAGGGATTTGATTTAGGTCATAACCGAATGGTCTAGTGGTTTTCCCTACTTTCTTCAATTTAAGTCTGAATTTGGCAATAAGGAGTTCATGATCTGAGTCACAGTCAGCTCCTGGTCTTGTTTTTGCTGACTGTATAGAGCTTCTTCATCTTGGCTGCAAAGAATTTAATCAATCTGATTTCGGTGTTGGCCGTCTGGTGATGTCCATGTGTAGAGTCTTCTCTTGTGTTGTTGGAAGAGAGTGTTTGCTATAACCAGTGCGTTATCTTGGCAAAACTCTGTTAGCCTTTGCCCTGCTTCATTCTGTACTCCAAGGCCAAATTTGCCTGTTACTCCAGGTGTTTCTTTGCTTCCCACTTTTGCATTCCAGTCCCCTGTAATGAAAAGGACATCTTTTTGGGGTATTAGTTCTAGAAGGTCTCGTAGGTCTTCATAGAACCGTTCAACTTCAGCTTCTTCAGTGTTACTGGTTGGGGCATAGGCTTGGATTACCGTGATATTGAATGGTTTGCCTTGGAAATGAACAGAGATCATTCTGTCATTTTTGAGATTGCATCCAAGTACTGCATTTTGGACTCTTGTTGACCATGATGGCTACTCCATTTCTTCTAAGGGATTCCTGCCCACAGTAGTAGATATAATGGTCATCTGAGTTAAATTCACCCATTCCAGTCCATTTTAGTTCGCTGATTCCTAGAATGTCGATGTTCACTCTTGCCATCTCCTGTTTGGCCACTTCCAATTTGCCTTGATTCATGGACCTAACATTCCAGGTTCCTATGCAATATTGCTCTTTATAGCATCAGACCTTGCTTCTATCACCAGTCACATCCACAGCTGGGTATTGTTTTTCCTTTGGCTCCATCCATTCATTCATTCTGGAATTATTTCTCCACTGATCTCCAGTAGCATACTGGGCACCTACTGACCTGGGGAGTTCCTCTTTCAGTGTTCTATTTTTTGCCTTTTCATACTGTTCATGGGGTTTTCAAGGGAAGAATACTGAATTGGCTTGTCATTCCCTTCTCCCATGGACCGCATTCTGTCAGACCTCTCCACCATGACCCATCCATCTTGGGTGGCCCCACATGGCATAGCCTAGTTTCACTGAAAATCCTTAAATATGCTTAATCATCAGGGGACATTAAGTATGATAAATAAATGTGATAAGTATGATACCAACCAGAATAGGATTTCACCCAAGGTTCTAAGTCATGGAATATTTTAAAAGGAGATCAT